AAATTTATTGATAAGTATTTGGTTGAGTTGCTTATGCTGAAAACACATATATTTAGACATTTAAATTGGGTATTTGGGTTCTAGTTGCAAAGTTATAAGAAAATCAGGAAATGGCGGCCATTTTGGACGCCATCTTGGATTACGGAAAACGCTCAAGGAGGATATATGAGAACTTTAAGTATGTTATTTTAGACATATTCCTGGAGCTATCCTGAAAATCAGCTTGTTACCAAAAATTTCCAGGTTAAGCCTATTTTGACCTAATGCTCTTGGCCTATTCCCTTTCTCTCCTGTTTGGAGCAGGATTTATCGCAACTGATATCCCCCCTTCTTTTCTTTTTTATTCCTCTCTTTTCCTTCCTTTATTCTTGTCTTTTCTTTTTTTTTATAATTTACCTTTCCTTCCTTTTATCTTATTTTTATTGATGGGGGAGGGGCCGCAACAGTCTGGGAGACAAGGCCCTTACGGTTCCCCCCCCCCCGAACTTTCTTCTTTTCCCCCTTTTCTTTTTCCTCTTCCTCTTCTTTCTTTCCCTTTCTCTCCCTCTTTCTATTTCCCGTCTTTTCCCTCTCTCTCTCTCTCTCTTTTTTTTCCTTTTATTGTTTGGGGGGGGGGGGGGGGATGGGGGAGGACTATTTATGAAAAGTACAATAAAAAATCTTCAATCTAAGCCAGAAAATGATCACTTTCGGCCCAAAAAATTGACATCATTGATAACGAAATCCTTAATTTGTCCATTTAATAGCTACCCCAACTCCACAATGAATGTATTTTCTTAAAGCTTAGAATCCATTGATCATTTAAAGATAACAATCTCAATTTTGATGAAGAAAAAAAATCAATACCCACTGGCCCCTTAACGGTACACGTTCAGTGTTACGTGATGTACGTATGGAATGTACGTTCGAAAATCTGTGCATGCACAGCCCCGAGTGGGGTGGGTAGCATGTTATCCCCGGCAGTCCTTGTCGCAGTAGCTTCTGAAAGGAATTTTCTACAAGTGTTACTGTTAGTGGCCACTAAGGCCCAGTAGTGACTATAAAAGACATATGCTCTTCCTGGCTATTTGGGAATGCGTCAGTTTGCACAGAAATGGAGAAACGCGCATTTTGTTGAAGTCATGTGATATCACGAACATTTATAAATAGCTTGTATGGAATGGAAAATAAGTCATGGTTTAATTTTATATTCTTTTTATTTTTTATTTTATTCATTTATTTTATTTTGATTTTATTTTTATTTATTTATTTATTTATTTATTTATTTATTATTATTATTTTTATTATTATTATTATTTTTTTTTTTTTTTTTTTTTTTGGGGGGGGCACAAGCAGGGGCGTCGCCAAAGGTGGGGGGGGGTGTGGGGGGCTGCGAACACCCCCCCCCCCACCTGTCAGGATATTGTCGGTAAAATTGCGCTGCCGTCGGGAAAAGAAGAAAAGGGGGAGGGAAAAAAAGAGAGGGAAAAAAAGAGAGGGAAAAAAGAGAGGGAAAAAAGAGAGGAAAAAAAAGAGAGGGAAAAAAGAGAGGGAAAAAAAGAGAGGGAAAAAAAGAAAGGGAAAAAAGAGAGGGAAAAAAAGAGGGAAAAAAAGAGAGGGAAAAAAAGAGAGGGGAAAAAAGAGAGGGAAAAAAGAAAGGGAAAAAAGAAAGGGAAAGGGAAGAAAAGAAAAAAAGAAAAGGAAAAGAAAAGAAAAAAAGAAAAGAAAGGAAAGGAAGGAAAAGAAAGGAAAGAAAAGAGAAGAAAGAAAAAAAACGAGGGAAGAGAGAAAAGAAAGGAAAAAAAAAAAAAGAAAAGGAAAAAAGAAGAAAAAAAAGTGAAAGGGAAACAAAAGAAACGAAAAACGGGGGATGAAAGAGAGGAGAGAGGGGGAGGTAAGAGTCTGAGAGAGGAGGAGTGGGAGTAAAAGAGAGAAGGGGGTTGTTGGGTGGAGTCGTCTCGTCGAGGGAGCAAGAAGACACGGGTAAATATGTTGCTGTGTCGGTCAGCTGTGTCGGTATTCTTGATCGATCCTCGTGTACTATATCAATGCAGAAGTTTGAAGTCGGTGAAATGTATATATATATATTGTCGGTCGGCCCGACAAGTTTTTTTTCCCTATGGCTGAATGTGAGAACTTTCTTATCCGCTGTGATGACTTCGAGAGGACAAAACTACAATACTTGTATTTTTTCGAAGTTTCACTTTTCTATAATATCAGCTAAAGAAATCAGAGGTTTGTAAATTTTCGGGAAACTAAATTCAAACAAGGTTTAAGAGTCAACAACGGTACGACGAATCGTCTTCCTTTCTTTATTGTGATGAAACGCCAAAAATTCAGCGCTTCGCGCGGAAGGGGCAACTTCATTTAGACGAGTCGAGAATGGTACGACGAATCGTTTTCTTTCTCTAATAATTTAAGGAAACGTCAAAGCTTCCGCGCTTTGCGCGAGAGTGGGAAACTGACTTCAGACAAATATGGCATATTAAAAGTCGAAACCGGTTCAACAACGAATCGTGTTCTTTCTCTAATAATTTGAGGAAACGTCAAAGCTTTCGCGCTTCGCGCGAGGGGAGGAAACTGAATTCAGATGAATAGGGCTTAATAAGATTCGAAAACGGTACGAGGAATCGTCTTCCTTTCTCATTATTGTGATGAAACGCCAAAAATTCCGCGCTTTGCGCGAAAGGGGGAAAACTTCATTAAGACGAGTCGAGACGGTACATCGAATCGTCTTCTTTCTCTAATAATTTTTCGCACTTCGCGCGAGTGGGGGGAAAACTGAATTCAGATGAATAGGGCTTATTTAGAGTCGAAAACGGTAAAACGAATAGGTTTCTTTCTCTAATAATTTAAAAAAACGTCAAAGTTTTCGCGCTTCGCGCGAGAGGGAGAAACTAAAATTAGATGAATAGGGCTTATAAGATTCGAAAACGGTACGAGGAATCGTCTTCCTTTATCTATATTTGTGATGAAACGCCGAAATTCCGCGCTTTGCGCGGAAGGGGAAAACTTCATTAAGACGAGTCGAGAAAGGTTCGACGAATCGTCTTCTTTCTCTATAATTAAGGAAAAGTCAAAGCTTCCGCGCTTCGCGCGGGAGGGGGAGAAACTGAATTCAGACAAGGATTAAGAGTGGAGAACAGTACACCGAATCGTCTGCTTTTTCTCATAATTTTATGAAACGTCAAAGCTTCCGCGCTTTGCGCAGGAGGGGCGGGAACTGAATTCAGAAAAGGATAAACAGTCGAGAACGGTACAGCAAATCGTCTTCTTTTTTATAATAATTTAATGAAACGTCAAAGCTTTCGCGCTTCGCGCGGGAGGGGGAAAACTTCATTCAGCCAAGGATTAACAGTCGAAAACGGTACAATTTATCGTCTTCTCTTCCAAATAATTTAAGGGAACGTCTAAGCTTCCGCGCTCTCGCGCGGGAGGCCCATCAACCACACCCCCTAATGAGCGCGCTTTTAAGTGATTCTCTTGCTCACTACCGCCCCTCCCTAAAATGAGATCCTAGCTCCGCGCCTGCATTAAAAATATATAGCTATGATGCTGACTAAATGAATAAATAATTCGTATATTTATGTCGTCGAGGAAAATGACAATTTTTCGCACTTGCAAGTACTATAGATAGTCCATAGGAAAAACAATTTAGCTTCGGACCCAGGTCTACACACCCCCCCCCCCACTGAAAAAGGTTCTAGCGACGCCCTTGGGCACAAGCGCCCCTCCCCCTACCAGTACGCCTGTGCCATCAGGCTCAATTCATGCTTAAGTGCAGGTAGATGCTCGCACAGTTAAAACTTGAACTATGTATTTTTATGCCTCCGTTACGAAGTAGCCGAGGCATTATGTTTCGGGTTGTCCGTCCGTCCGTCCGTCCGTACGTCTTGTACGTACGTCTGTACGTACGTCCCGTTCTCGTGATCACGTTATCTGAAGAACGGATCAATGGATTCCTACCAAACTTTGGTCAATATATGTATTCTAGCAAAGTCGATGAACTGATTAGATTTTGGGGTCACGAGGTCAAAGGTCAAAGGTCACAGGGCTCATTATGTATGCAAAAACAGCTCGTGATCGCGTTATCTGAAGAACCGATTGATGGATTCCTGCCAAACTTTGGTCATGTATGTATCTTGTAGAGTCGATGAACTGATTAGATTTTGGGGTCACGAGGTCAAAGGTCAAAGGTCACAGGGCTCATTATGTATGCAAAAACGGCTCGTGATCGCGTTATCTGAAGAACCGATTGATGGATTCCTGCCAAACTTTGTCATGTATGTATCTTGCAGAGCCAATGAACTGATTAGATTTTGGGGTCACGAGGTCAAAGGTCAAAGGTCACAGGGCTCATTATGTATGCAAAAACAGCTTGTGATCGCGTTATCTCAAGAACCGATTGATGGATTCCTGCCAAACTTAGGTCATGTATGTTACTTGCAGAGCCGATGAACTTATTAGATTTTGGGTAACGAGGTCAAAGGTCAAAGTCACAGCGCCCATTATGTATGCAAAAACAGCTTGTGATCACGTTATCATTAGAACAGATTGATGGATTCCTGCCAAACTTAGATCATTTATGTATCTTGCAGAGCCAATGAACTGTGTAGATTCTTGGTTCATAAGGTCCAAGGTCATGGGCTCATTAGTATGCAAAAATAGCTTGTGAACGCATTCTCATTAGAACTGACAGATGGATTACTATTTAACTCTGGATATCTTGCAGAGCCAATGAGCTGAGTAGATATTAGGATCATGAGGTCAAAGTTCAAAGGGTCATATATGTATATGAGAAATTGTTTGTAATCACGATATTCTGAGAACCTGTTAATGGATTACAATTGAACTTGAATTTGAAAAATTTCTTCTGTTTTGGTTTGTAAAATTGCTCTATGACGGAGGCATCATTTCGACTGCGCGCAGTCGAATTCCATCTAGTTACAACATATTTTGCAAAAGGTCACGGTTTGCCCAAAACATGTATATTATTCTTTTTTGCTTTGTTTGATCTTTAGGGACATCCGAGAATGTTTGAAACTTGACCCTGATCATAAAGAGTGCTTACCTCTTTATTCATTTATGAAGAAGATGAAAACTGCTGAAAAATATATCCGTGATGGAAGGTGAGCATTTATGACAATAATAATTGCATTTATTGTATTCAGAACTGCTAGTCCTCTGCCCTCCTTGCCTCCTAGTTCCTCTCCCCCTCTCTCTGTCCCTCTCAGTAATTTTCCTCTTTACCTTTTTATATGCAATATTTCATATGTATAAAATGTAACATTAATTGAATTTAAATTGTTTATGTCTATAAATGTTTGTGTAGAAGTATGTTAGCCAACCACTATGACAGCAGCTACGTCAGTTTGGCTATTCTCATGTACATGTTCTATTCGCTGATATTCATTATCTCTTTTGTCTCCACATTTACTTAAATAAGTATAAACTTATAAGTATTAATATCATTGTGATGTTTTTAAATCTAAGGTATGATGAGGCTGTAGGCAAGTTAGAAGCATCAATAAAGGCTGCAGGGAAAGGAAGTGTTTATGAACTCAGGGCAAACACAAGGATATGCCATGCTTGTAGAATGGTAAGAATCAGATCCATCTTTATACAGAGCTTGACCAACATGGTTTCATTAGGTCACACAACATGGTGTATATTCGTATACTTTGTGCTTGCCCAACTAAGCAGTATTCACCATATTGTAACGAACTAGAAGCAGGTTGGCCAAACTCTGTATATCGATAGCACTGGTAAGAATGTATTCTTTTATTACATTCCTCAATGGAAGTAAATCCAGCTATCTGTACAGTGGAAACTCGGTGTAACAAGGACATTGGGACCATGCAAATTATGTTGGAATGTCAGTGTTTAAAAATATATATAGATAGTTGGAACCAGTAAAACTGCCTTGTAATATCAGCTATCATGTTACATTACAGCTCTGTATATAAAATGTCTACTATGTTTCCAGATTTGGTTAATCTTCAATGAACAGTTTTTTTTTTTAACTCCTTCAATTAAGTAGTCCTCACGAAAGAAAGTGATAAACTCCTACAAAAAAGTTCTGCAATCAAGCATTAATATCTCCTTGCTAGTATATTGCCATGCTTGTCTTTTAGAAGTGAAATGTTAGAAAATGCATTGTTATTTTCCACAGTAAATTCTTCATTTGTTTTGGGGATAAATGCATTCTCAACATTTCACTTTGGACTTGGCCCTGTAACTGAGTTTACTGCACATTTCCTATTATGTATTACCATAGATGTAAAATTTCATCTTCTTGATATCATGTGTCTAACTGAATATTTTCAGATTGTCAGCCCTTTTCCTTCCCCCTGTTGACTTGTATCCGTTGTGTGACTGCCTATTGTTGATGTGCTGTAGTCTTTTATTTTTCTCATATTTTCCCTCTTTCTCCCGTCTTGTAAAGATAATTAGTCAATCTACCATTGCTTCTTATAATATAACTCAACACTTAGCGTCTCCATTAAGAAATGATATAGACCTAATACAATAATGTTGGCATAACCATCCTAGTTATGCTATTGCCTTAAAATGAACTTCCTACACTTTACGCTCCGAGACTGATGATCATTTGTGCACATCGACCCAGAATGTTATTCTTCTCTCAGCCTTCGCTAATCCATATTAATTAACAAGTCATTTTATTCATTATTTAACATTATTACTCAATATACTCATAATGCTTCCTAAAACTATTCTATTCATATAGTTTCCAAAAGTCATCTGCATCACTTTGATCCAATACTTCCTTCTTCAGAGAGATTACTGAGCCTGGGTCATCAGGGCAAACAGTTTATACAGAACTTCCTAAATCATCCCTAAAGGGGATTCCAGTAGCACAGGGAAAGTACTGTCTGAAATAATGCACAATTTTATACAAGTCTTCCCTTGGTTCTTTGTCCAGCCTTCATGCTTTATAGACGGTCCCTTGATGCTAGTTTATATTTCCCTTGCAAACACATTATAAAATGACAACTTTAAATGCAATCGTGTCACAACGATATGCGTGCAATGACGCACGTGTTTCTAAGGTTCAAACGATAGAGCCTCTCTTTGACTATCCAGAGCAATTTGTAAGAAATCTGTAGCTTTTGAGATAGTGGAGATAGGTAGGGCGAAAGAAAGGCCCACAAAATGGCCCGAAACGGACAAAATGGCGCCTGGACGGTCATGCATGAGCGATTCCGGAGAACGAAGAATTCAGTGACCTTGATGGGATGCTAGAGACTATGCCTGAAGTATGTATAAAGTTTGAAAAGAAATTGGGATAGAGTAAGGGACTTGGAAATGGCTCACAACCACTGCGTGCAAAACAAATGGGATTTGGGAGCATGACGAACCCGTGATGACGCGTGCTCTGGCACAGACGGTTGTCCATATATACTAACACAATCATGCAGTGCATATGGCGTCTAAAATGTCCCCTTGACAGATTAAAAATGCCCTGCGTATTGTAACTCGGGATGCGGTGGTGGTGTTTACTTTACCTGACTGCTAAGAAAGCATGAATGCTTGTAAGGAAGCAACCAGACGATCGACGGCTTTAGTTCCCCTCCGAGGGACCTGGCAATGAGGATTAATGCCCCACCAAAGGGCACTAGCGCATCGACTTGGTTTCGAACCCGTTTCACCGGATTACGAGACCACTGCTCTACCGACTGAGCTATCGCACCCCACTGCAAAATTTCAGGGAGAAAAAAGGATGGAAAGGGGTGAAAAGCAGTCTGATAAACTATTCTATTCAGCTTATCCAGTGGAACAACAACACATAAAGAGCATTTTCTTTCATTAGGAAAATAATACTTTTTCTTCGATTGCCTCACTCCTAGCTTCTAGATTGTTATTTAGAGTGGAAAGGGAACCTTGAGCAAGGAATTACTGCTTGCACGATTTTTCCTGTCACTTTATTGCACAGTTGTGAATATTCATGTATTCAAAGTATAACTAACATCTATACAAGATGATTAAAAAAAATCATTTAATGTATCAAATTTTATTTTGAGTTTTGGGGATGTTTTTTTAAAAGACCAAATCTTCCATGCAGTTAATACATGTACGTGTTATGTCTCGACCAAAGCGGCAGATCACCTAATTCGTCTACGTGACGAATTCAATGTCTAGTTGTATTTGATATTGTATTTGTTATAGTACATTTGTTAGTGTATTTGTTATTGTATATTTTATTTTATACAACACCTACGTGGATCCTTGTCATTTGATTGGAGGATTGTTGGTCACATGATATTCAATAGATGTTATATTGCACGGTCGTGCATTTTTGGCTATATGCGCCGTGCATTTTTGGTTATTATGCAGACTGCGTACCTCTCTGCCGTGCGCGCGCGTATCCCTGCGTGTATCTGACGCGACGGCAATCTGAATGTAATCGAGAAGGCTTGACTCCAACTTTGATTTATCTTTAATATGAGGAGTAAAGCATATTTGTTGATTAACGTTCTATGAGATCTTCTTCGATGTGGTATAATACAAAAAATGAATGTTTTTCATTCGTTCAATGGTGCGAATATTTTCATTCGTTTGAAAGATTAAAGGTAAAGACCAGTTATGGTCATGCGATTGCATTGTGAAAGAAACGTTGTGGAATCGATCAGAAAAGGTTGATCATCTAGCATCTAGCATCTGCAAGGTTCTGGAATCATCAAAATGATAAGAAATTTGGGCCCATTCTTCGTAAAGTTACAAGCACTATACACAAAAAGATGTATATGGGACTACCATCTCTCACAGACCATGAGAGAAACAAATTTACCAAATATATGAATTAATAGGCGGTTTCCCGGCAAATTTGTTATCATCATGTATTAGTCAAAACATATTCTTTCACATGATTGGAAATGAGAGCTTCCATTTCATTTTTTTAAAATTGGGGCGTTTCCAATACTGGTCTTTACCTTAACGTTAATTCTATTCAACTCGGCTGACGCCTCGTGATTAGAATGTTACTCTTTCAACTCATGAAAATATTCGCACTATTGAACTCATAACCATTCATTATTTGTATAATATTATATCTGTAACCGTGTATACCTCTTGTTAGTGAGGAGGAAGTATTTCTTTCTTTTTGGCAGTGGACCTGGGTATTTTCCATGTAACTTCTTTGATATTCTTCCATCGAAATGAAGAGGACTTACCGTATATGATGTTATTATACTTGACAGGGCCAAAAACTAACTAAAGCAATTGATATGTGTACACGGGTATTGAAAGATGATCCAGAGAATACGTACAGATGTACAATAGACAGAGCTGAGGCATATATCCAAGATGAAATGTATGAGGAAGGTGAGTGACGTAATATTAGACTTGATTGTATTCCAGCTCAGCTGTCAATTTTCATATAACAATAATGATAATGATAATAATTGTTGTAATAATAATAATAAAGATACTATATAATACTTATAGTAAATGCTAATACTACTATATTACTACTACTACTACTAATAATATAATATACTACTACTACTCTCATAATAATATTGATTAATATGTTTATGATCATTATTATTATTATGAGTAGTAGTAGTAGTATATCATGCATCAGCATCATAATATTTTGTTAACCCAGGGAAGCCCCATCAGCTTCAATGCTGTTTTTTTCCTGAGGACCCTACAATTATTTATACCGCAGTGATTGCCAGGTACCGTGGTAGAGAGTGGCAACTGTGGATAAATGTCTTCCCAAAACACGTTAGGTGTAGGGATTACTATACCATGACACCTTCCCTCGTCAAAGAAGTGAATCCAACATTGATTTGTACACTTACAAGGAATATGAACATTATACAAACTTGCAAATTTTGTCAAAATGGTTATGATCATATTGTAATATATTCTGTTTGATAAGGATAGGAACAATACATCTGCTGTTGATGTTATACAAGATACAAGATATTTTATTTGGTCTTTGCAAACAAGTTACGTAGAAATTTGGTTTCCACTGGCGTTACAGTCAGGGGCGTACGCAGGAGGGGGGGGGGGGGGGGGGGGGGGGGGGGGTGGTAAACGGACATTTTTTTTCTTCTTTTTTGGTGTCTCGAAATTTTAAAATTTGACATTTTTCTTCGTTGGGGGGGGGGGGGGGGGGGTAAGGTCACCTTATTTAGGTTTGCCGTGGTATAATTTTTTTTTTTAATTTTTTTTTTAATAATAAAAAATCAACAACA